GCAGGCGGGGAACGTTGGAGTCCTCTGTCACTGAAGGAAGCAAGCCTCCCTGTTCGCATCAGCTGCCTGGCTGCCGGCCGCCATCTTGGCTGTCAGTTAATTTGCATATCTCCCTGATTAGCCAATGGGAAGGGTAGCGGTCGTACGCTAATTACCATGTTTCTCTTTTATTAGTGTAGATGCTTAAAAGTATTTGAGTTACTTTAAGACAACCTATGTTGTATAAAACTAGAGCTTGGAAATTAACATATCAATTTTAAGAGGTATGTATTAATCCCAATGTCAGAGAATAAAACAAAAGGAAAAAAATACTCTATCTTCTATAGTGCATCAAATAATCTCTTTTACTCTCTAGCACTAAAACCTAATGTTTACTCTTCAGAAGACAAGTAAGGGTAATTTCAAAAGTGAGTAAATTTTTTCTTGTGTCATCCAGAAAGGTCATTAATGATCACAGCTTGAGGTTTGGGTTTTGTCATCTCATCATTACAAAAATGTTGTTTTTGTCTTCATTTCAATTGAAAATATATTTTTAAAATATTGTCAGCTTGGAAATGTTTCAATGTAGACGAAAATGCAAGGATACTAGAAACTACATTAACCTTTCTTATGCACACAGGTTCCAGATGGATTTAAAGTAGGAAAAATATCACCCCCCGTTTATTTGACAAATGAATGGGTAGGCTATAATGCACTCTCTGAAATCTTCCGGAATGATTGGTTAACTCCTGCACCTTTCATTCAGCCACCTGAAGAAGATGGTGATTATGTTGAACTCTATGATGCTGGTATTGATACTGATGGTGATGATAATGATTCTAATGATGTGTATGAAGATACTTATGAGCATGACAATGGCAATGATGCCTTGGATAACCATGTTGGTCAGGCTAATGATGTTGGTGAAGACCAAGATGATGATGGCAATGATGAAGGTGTTGATGACAAAGGCAATAATCATGATGATGCTCCTAGTTGGCCAAGGTTGTTTTTTTTCTGGATTACTTGCATTATCTATATTTTATAATTTCAAAACTATTTGCATCTTTGGTTTACTTGTGAAATTTATTGCTAAGTGAGTGAAGGAAATGCACTTGCATATGGGTAAATGTTGATTTTTAATAATATATTATAATTATTCAATGAAAACACTTAATTTTTATTTTATACTGTATTTTATTAATATTCAAGTATTAGATTCTTTAATTTTTATAAACAAAAACCTCATTTATTTATTTTTTCTGTTCATTTCCTTTTTATTGAATTTATTGGGGTGACACTGGTTAACAAAATCATACAGGTTTCTGGTGCAAAATTCCACAACACATCATCTGCACAGTCCACTGTATTGTGTATTCACCACCCCAAGTCACCTGTTAACATTAATGTTACTGAAACATCCTGCCCTGTGAAACTGCAATAAGTATGAGAAATGAGGATGACAAATTTAGTAGTGTGTTCATTTAAAGCTATAAAGTGAAGCCCTAGTATTTTCAAACAAAATATCTAAATTTGCTTTAAGATGAATAAAAATTTGACTTTCACTCATATTTTCAGGCTGAAACTTACTAACATGGCATTATTGGAATGCTGAAAATTGCTATAACTAAATTCAGTATTTGTTAAATTTTATCTATTTATAAAGTAGCTGCCCAAAGTGATAATATTTAGTGAAATAGTGTTTTGGCATTCCACCAGTTATTTTTATGTAGGCATTTAGTCCTTGCTCCTGCTCTAAATAGCCACTGTGTTCTTATTTACATATGCTCATGGCTTGTATTCAAACATATCTCAAAGAATAGTAGTTACTATAATATATTTTTATATTTGTATAAAAATAATTAACAGTGGGAGAATTGTTTTCTTTATAATATTGAAATCCATATCTTGTTTTGGTTCAATTTTAATTTTATTGGGGGATATATATGACAGAAGAGGCATTTTTTTTCTTTTTTGCTAACTAAAATTCTACCAGAAATTCCAGTGCCAAATAAATTTGCTTTTAGAGTTATAATAGGTACATATTTAGGATGCCTGTTATGCAAAAGATCATTGAGACATTTTGTTAAGCTTGGTTTTCTTAGCAGCTAATTAAATTACTATTTTAGCTTAATTAAATATATATTACTTCCCTTCCTGGTGCCATAGAATGGGATTCTATAGCAGAGCAATGACACACATGTTAGAAAAACAAGGTACATGTTCACATTAGCATAAATTATATATATTGCAAGAAGAATTATTCAAATATGTTGTGATTGAGTCAAGAGTATGGGCTTGATCATTCATGTGCCTGTGAATTTGCTAATACATAAAATAGTCTATTATTTTAAAAAATACATATTTTTACTACCAACCTAACATATGCTCTTAATACAGGATTAAAGTTATCTTCCATCTGCCATCCAAATGCAGCTAAGGAACTAATGGTGGCTATGGTGTTAATTCAGTATATAAGACTGAAAGGACATAAGGACATATTTCTTATATAAATATTACCAATATTCACATAGAGCAAAAATGTGCCTAGAGATAGTACCTATGTATGCAACACATTTTAATTCAGTTTAATTTGCTGACTTTCAGAGATGTTTTTGTTGGGTTGCTTTCCCCCGATCATTAATTGAATCTTGTTATCAGGTCAAGCTATGGCAAAGGTGCAAGCTGGAAGCAAAATGGTAGAGATGACCATAATGGAGGAGAAGGTACCTGCAGCAGCTATGGAAGCCAGAGAACCAGTAGAAGCCATTTAAGATATGCAGCCAGTGGGGACAATACAGCTATGGGAAATCACGAAGAAGATAAAGCCAATATAGGAAGTGGAAGAAGAGGCATGGAGGGCAATGGAGGTAGGGGAGTCCATGAAACCAATGAAGAGAGTGAAGTCTTTGAACTCAGTGAAGGAGAAAGTTATTCAGAGACAGATGATCCAGGTTTGGAGAGGCCAACATCCCAGGACAATGAACATCAACAAGAGGTAATTCATCATTTGAAAAGGAGAATAAATTACTCTCCTTGTGAATGTGTTTGTTCATGTGATATGTCACATTTTCAGCCATTCCATATATATTTTAAACTTCAGAACAAAGCCTTAAATATTTTTAATTATAGCTGTAGGTGGATCTTATTCTTCTAATTTGGATGATTACTATTTATTTTTATGAACAAGAATATCTGCTTTATTTGCCTTTATTACTCAGATCACATGCTTGTTTTAACACATACTTTTTTATAGGAAGCTTATACTTTGGTAAAATATGCATAACAAGTTTTTCCATTTTAAGTATTTTAAGTATAGAATTCAGTAAAATTAAGTACATTCACAATGTTGTACAACTATCACTACTAGTCATTACGGCCCTAGATGTATTGGTAAAGAAATTGCTTCAGCATATGTCTGAGATTTTGTTGCCTTTGGATTCCTCTAGTATTTTTATGGTTTCCTGTCTTACATTTAAGTCCTTTATCCATTTTGAGTTTATTTTTGTGTATGGTGTAAGTTGGTGGTCTAGTTTCATTTTCTTGCATGTATCTGTCCAATTTTCCCAGCACCATTTATTGAAGAGACTGTCTTGACTCCATTGTATGTTCTTGCCTCCTTTGTCAAATATTAATTGAGCGTATTGGTTGGGGCTGATTTCTGGGCTCTCTATTCTATTCCATTGATCTATATGTCTGTTCTTGTGCCAGTACCAGGCAGTTTTGAGAACAGTGGCTTTGTAATACAGCTTGATATCTGGTATTGAGATCCCACCTACTTTGTTCTTTCTCAGGATCGCTGCAGCTATTCGGGGTCTTTTTTTATTCCAGATGAATTTTTGGAGAGTTCGTTCTAGATCTTTGAAGTAGGCCATTGGTATTTTAATGGGAAGTGCGTTGAATTTATAGATTGCTTTGGGTAGTATGGACATTTTAATGATGTTGATTCTACCAATCCAAGAACATGGTATGTTCTTCCATCTCTTTATGTCTTCCTCTATCTCTTTTTTCAACGTCCTGTAGTTTTCTGAGTAGAGGTCTTTTACCTCTTTAGTTAAGTTTATTCCTAGGTAGCTTAATTTTTTTGGTGCGATGGTAAATGGGATTGTTTTTATAATCTCTCTTTCTGAAAGTTCACTATTGGTGTATAGAAATGCCTCAGATTTCTTGGCATTAATTTTGTATCCTGCTACTTTGCCAAATTCATGTATTAAGTCTAGTAGCTTTTTGATGGAGTCTCTAGGGTTTTGTATGTATAATATCATGTCGTCTGCAAATAAGGACAGTTTTACTTCCTCTTTTCCAATTTGGATGCCTTTTATTTCTTCTTCTTGTCTAATTGCAATGGCTAATATTTCCAGTACTATGTTGAACAGGAGTGGTGAGAGTGGGCATCCCTGTCTTGTTCCTGTTTTTAGGGGAAATGGTGTTAGTTTTTGTCCATTGAGTATGATGTTGGCTGTGGGTTTGTCATATATGGCTTTTATTATGTTGAGGTATGATCCTTCTATTCCCACCTTGCTGAGAGTTTTTATCAAAAATGGGTGTTGGATTTTGTCGAATGCTTTTTCTGCATCAATTGATATGACCATGTGGTTTTTTTCTTTCAATTTGTTTATGTGATGTATTACGTTTATTGATTTACGGATGTTGTACCATCCTTGCATTCCTGGGATAAATCCTACTTGGTCATGGTGTATGATCTTTCTGATGTACTGTTGGATCCGATTTGCTAAGATTTTGTTGAGGATTTTGGCATCTATGTTCATGAGGGATATTGGCCTGTAATTCTCTTTCATTGTGTTGTCTTTACCTGGTTTTGGTATTAGGGTGATGCTGGCTTCATAGAATGAGCTTGGAAGTGTTCCTTCCTCTTGAATTTTTTGTAGTAGTCTGAGGAGGGTAGGTTTTAGTTCTTCCTTGAATGTTTGGTAAAACTCCCCTGTGAAGCCGTCTGGTCCTGGGCTTTTGTTTGCTGGAAGCTTTTTGATGACTGCTTCAATTTCTTCCATAGTTATTGGCCTGTTGAGATTTTTAGATTCTTCCTGATTAAGTTTTGGAATGTTGTATTTTTCTAGGAATTTGTCCATTTCCTCCAGGTTGTCTAGTTTGTTGGAGTAGAGTTGTTCATAGTATTTTTTAACAATCATTTGTATTTCTGTGGGGTCTGTTGTTATTTCGCCTCTATCATTTCTGATTTGGTTTATTTGGGTCCTCTCTCTTTGCTTTTTGGTGAGCCTGGCTAGAGGTTTGTCGATCTTGTTTATCCTTTCAAAGAACCAGCTCTTGGTTTCATTGATTTTCTGTATTGTTTTTTTGGTCTCTATGTCATTTATTTCTGCTCTGATCTTTATTATCTCCTTCCTTCTGCTCACTCTGGGCTTTTCTTGTTGCTCTCTTTCTAATTCTTTGAGTTGTAGAGTTAGATGATTTACTACCATTTTTTCTTGTTTTTTGAGGTAGGCTTGTAGAGCTATAAACTTCCCTCTCAGGACTGCTTTCATTGTGACCCATAGGTTTTGGATTGTTGTGTTTTCATTGTCATTAGTTTCCAGGATGTTTTTAATTTCTTCTTTGAACTCTTTGGTAACCCAATCATTGTTTAGTAGCATGCTACTCAGCTTCCAAGTGTTTGAATTTTTTTATTGTTTTTATTGTAGTTTATTTCTAATATTATGCCACTGTGGTCTGAGAAAATGCTTGATATGATTTCAATCTTCTTGAATTTGGGGAGACTTTGCTTGTGACCCAATATGTGATCTATTTTTGAAAATGCCCCATGTGCACTTGAGAAGAACGTATATTCCATGGCTTTGGGGTGAAAACTCTGAAGATGTCAATTAAATCCATCTGATCTAGTGAGTCATTTAGGATTGCTGTTTCCTTGCTGATTTTTTGTCTGGAGGATTTACCCAGTGACGTCAGTAGTGTATTAAAGTACCCTACTATGATTGTATTGTTGTCAATCTCTCCCTTGTTATCTTCCAAGGAATTTTTTTTATGTATTTGTGTGCTCCTGCATTGGGTGCATATATGTTTATCAGGGTTATATCCTCTTGTTGTGTTGATCTATTTAGAATTATGAAGTGGCCTTCCTTATCTCTTGTTATGGCCTTCACTTTGAGGTCTATTTTATCAGGTATAAGTATTGCTACCCCAGCTTTATTTTTTCATTTCCATTTGCCTGAAAGATATTTTTCCATCTCTTCACTTTCAGTTGTGTGAGTCCTTTGTTCCGAGGTTGGTCTCTTGTAGACAGCATATATATATGGGTCATGTTTTTTTTATTTCTTTATCCATTTAACCACTTGATGTGTTTTGATTGGAGTATTTAGTCCATTTATGTTTAAAGTTATTATTGAAAGGTACTTGTTTGTAGCCATTTTTATTTTTTTGACCCTGTGTTCCTTCTTACCTATTTATTTCTTCTTTTTACACCAGTCCCTTTAGCATTCCTTGCATTTCTGGCTTGGTAGTGATAAACTCCCTTAGTCTTTTTTTGTCTGTGAGGCTCCTTATTTCCCCTTCAACTTTGAATGATCGCCTTGCTGGGTAGAGAATTATTAGATTCAGTCCCTTGATTTTGATCACTTTGTAAATTTCCTTCCATTCTTTTCTGGCCTGATGTGTTTCTGTTGAGAAATCATTTGATAATCTAATGGGAGATCCCTTGTATGTAACTTTCC